TCTCATGCCCAGACACCAGGCTGCCCTTCTCGCTGTCCCCAGGAGACCAGTGTGACAGGAAAACTACAGGTATGATTCCCACGGTCCCATGATGGCCACAGCATCCAGGGGCACATGGCCACAGGTGGCCAACAGGAGTGTTTGCATCTCTTTTGGAGAAAGTGGATGATGAGGAAATGTGGACAGGGAAAGAGCCATCAGAAATTGAGCATAACTGGATGTAAAGTGGGTAAGAGTCGCCAAGGAGCTGAAGACAGCAAACTGGAATCTGTGCAGGGACTCGCCACAGTGACTCTTACACTATGCTGTCACCTCACAGCCCCATATGCAGAGCACTGGGCCTCTGCACAGCTGACTGTGGCATCCTGGCTAGGGAGTGTCTGGCTGCTCTGGGTGTTACTTGGACCTTGAGAAGGGGGCCATCTATTCTGTCACCAACATTCCAGGCCATGTTTGTAAAGGAACTCATGGGAGTCCTGGTTCCCAGTCCTGGTGGGACATTGCTAGGGGCTCCTTAGTGCCTGAGAATCAAGGGCAGGCACACAGCTCAGCCACCCTGCAAGGCCCTCCCTGAGCTGAGTAGCAGCAGGAGGTAGGACAGAGCCTGGGTGCTCTCTGGGGCACACCTCTTCTGGCTGAGAAAGGGGGGGGGGCGGGAAGATTGAAGGGAACCATCCCACGTCCTCCTGTCCAATGGGGCCCTCATTCATGTATTTTTCAGACCTGAGCCTGGGAATCTGCACTTCCTCCCCTAGAGGCAGCAGGGTCAGCCCACCACACAGCAGTATTGGGCAGCAGTAGGTCTGAATGCAGAGGAGAGAGGCCATGTGCTCAGGGGACAGAGGCAGGGCTGGCAAGTCACGGTCACAGGGCTGTTGGTGTCCTGCCATGGCTTCAGCATGCAGCTGCACTGGAGATAGCTGCCCGGGGCCTGCAAGAACAGTGCCTGGTGCTGGAATGCACCGCAGCCAGGACTGGCTTGCTTGTGTAAGCTGCCAGAAGCCCAGCTGTGGAGTCTGTCAGCTGTCACTCAGCTCTTACCCCTGCCAGAAGTAGCCATGTGACTCAGGATGAGAGCCACATCGTGAGGAACAGAGACCATCTTCTCAAAGAGGGCTCCGAGTGGATGGTTTAAGTCCCCACTGTCCATTCAGGCTCTCGGATCAAAGGTTGTCCTATCACAGGTGATATGCACTGTCTCCCTAAGTCAATCCATGAGGCCCAGAGGTGACCCCCTGAGTATCGGGGACTATGGGAGTCCAGCACCTCAATAGCCCCCTCCCAGGGTCCGGGAAGAATCTACAACCAGCTGATAATTAATCTTTGATGAAAAGAAATGAAACTATGTACACGAAACTCCTTAGTCCATATACTTTATTATTCTGTGTCAGTTACAAGCTTATATATATTTTCTGCTCTCATATATAGCTCCTTCTAGGTTCTCATCCATCTAGTTCATTCCCAAATCAGCTCCTCTCCCATCTCCTTCTCTCTCATCTTGTTCTTCCCCATCTGGCTCTTCCTCATCTTCCATCTCGTTCCTCTAGTACTCTCTTCTAGCCCTTCAATCTAGTTCTTCCCCATCTCAGTTTGTTCCTCTCAAGTTCTTACCCATCTAGTTCTTCCATTCTCTTTTCTCTTCTTAATCCCTTCGTGCCCTGGAAGTCCTGGTATATATACACTTACAAGGAGTAATCCCTTGGCAGTGCAAAGCCAGGCTTCCAGGGTCAAACGGAGGGGTGATAAAAATCACATAGGGAGGCAATAACCATTAATTATCATTTGCAACACCAAAGGGAAGTGACCAATGGGGAAATGAATTAACTAAAGGCTAGATTCAGGTAAGATCTAAGAAAAGGGCTCTTATGTGCTCAACTATAATCTTAAACGTGATTGGTAGAAAATGTTAAGACTCTGTAAGTTGCTAGGTCAATGGGAGAAAATAAAGCTGCCTTCTTTTTTCCTGTAGCTCCTATCTGTCCAAGCTATCTGCCGCTTTTCTGCAGGGTGGGGGAAAGTGTGCTCGCTCACTAGGCAACCTGTATGCAGCTAGATGCCTCTGGTGATAGTTAAAGGGAGATCTGGGACTAGAGATAAGATTTGGGAAAGGAGGAAGTTAAACTTAATTGGCACATGCGCCAGGCCTTCTCAAACAGGTAGTCTAGACACAAGTCTGTTAATAGAGAGAACAGAGGTATCTCTGATAAGGTGCTTTCCTCCATCTAGGGATGGACCTGGCCGGATGCTGCCAATGACGATAATTACAGGGAGGCTTGAACAGGGGTTCTGGCTGTGCATAGCTGTCAGCGCACAAGGTTATCTAAGTATTCCTTTAGTAGAGGGGAAATGGTGCCCAATCAATGATGGAAAAGCTACAATAGCACACAAGAAACTCATAGCAGGAAACGGCTGATAATCAAAAGCCAAATATCACCAAGGCTCCTTGAGCCTTAGCTTGACCTCTGAAAGGCCCTTGGTTACTTCCAGGTATTACCTTTGTCATAGTCCACTGAAATCCCACTTTGTATATTTTTGTGGCTTGCTGCACCTAAGACTGTGGGAAAGGGTGCTGCCAGACCTGCCCCACTCTGCATGGCAATTGACCCTCCTACTTTGCACAGTCACTGCGCTCCTACTACTTGGCTGTTCTTAGCTTCAGGTTTTCCAGCTCCCAGGAGAGCTGCTGCTTCACAGGCAGGAGTAAACAGGCTAATCTGAGGAACGCAGCTTGCACATCCCTCCCTGCCCACAACAGAACTAAAAACACTTTTATTTCAGTTGTAATTGTGTATGAATGGTTTGTCTGCATGTGTGTCTATGGACCACGTTTGTGCCTAGTGCCCAAGGAGGCCAGAAGAGGGCCTCTATGCCCTGGAACTGGAGTTACAAACGGTTATGAGCTGGGTATGGGTGCTAGAAATCAATCCCAGGTCCTCTGCAAGAGCAGCCATGCTCTTAGCTGCTGAGCCATCTCTCCAGCCACTCAGGGCAGGGCTTTTAAGAGTACAGTCCAGGGTAGGATCCAGAGCCTACTTTGGCAACTCCAACCTTTTGACAACACTAACACAGTGACTTTTGTGACTTACACTTCCTACCACACCATGCCCTCCTGTGGTTTAAGACTGGAAAACCACCTCTAATGAAAGGTCAGCACCAACCTCTCCTTGTGTGCTTTGGATCCCTCACAGGCTCAGGTGTCACCTCCTGCTGCCACTCACTGAGTCTGAGCTTTCCACACCAAGGACAACTGCACTGCACTCTCAGATTCACAGGCACACCCGGCCAGAGCAAGGTACAGAGTCCATGGGCCCAGATGCTTTGTGGTCACCAGCACCCTACATCGAATGTGAAAAGCCCCGCCTCTCAGGAATGCAAGCTGGCAGAACCCACACCTGCCTCACCCACCCCACATCTCAGATCCTGTCTGGCACTTGGTCCCAGCTCAAAGCTGGAAGCCATCCTGTCTGTCTCCCACACTACAATGTGGAGCCCAGGAGGAAGTGGGGAAGATGGACCCGGAACACACCAATATCATGTTTGGAAACATTTGTGCCATGTGTGAAGGGTGAGCAGGGACCTGTGGAAGACCTTCCATGCATGTGTGGATGCATCATCTCGAACACCAAATGCACGGGTCAGCAAGATGGTTCAAGCCTGAAAATATGAGCTCACACTTTGGAACTCATGTAAAATCTGGATGCCAGTGCTAGAGAGATGGCTGGGGGTTAAGAGCAGTGTGCTGCTTCTCTGGAGGATATCAGGTTTCTTCCCAGCACCCATGTCAGGCAGCTCACATCACTTCTAAGTGTGGCTTCAGGGAGATCCAATGGACTGGTCTCAAAAAGAAACTGCACTGATGTGCGAACACCCACACATTACCATGCAAGCATGCATGCATACACACACACACACACACACACACACACACACACACACACACACACTCTCACAATCATTAAAACTAAATCTTGAAAAAGTTCTAGAGCTGATGATACCAGGTGTCATACAGCAGGATGGGAGAAAAGAGACAGAAGAACCCCGAAGCTCCCGGGCCAGCTAGGCAGGTGTACAAAGGATAGGCAGAAACAAGACACACCCCCAACTAGTTTGTACTCTGACCACCACACACACGCCATGGCACAGGAACCTCTTACTTGTCCTCTCTCCCTCTTCCTCTCGCTCTCCCTTTCTCCCCCACCTCTCTATCTCTTTCTCCCTCCTCCTTCCCTCTCTCACACTCTCTCACACACAGATACCCCAACCTCTCTAAAACCGGAACTTTTCAAATGGGGGCTGGATGAGAGCACCTGTCAGACCAGGACCTGAGGATGTGGAGCTTTGGGTCCTAGACCTTCTCTTCCACTGCCCTGGGACATCAGCCCTGTTGGCCCACAGAACCACTGAAGACTCACTTCTCACCACCAACCCAGAGAAAAACAGGTGCTTTTCTGTGCTCCTTACACCCCGTGTGCACAGTCTTTGGAGCTCACTCACTCTGCCAACCACGGGCATGTGATCGTGCCCTCCACCCCTCTCCTGAAATGGTCCAGGGGCAAATCAGGGGACTTGGCAACTCACTTCAAAGGGGAGGGCTATGCAGGAGCCCAAAGATGAAGTGCAAATTCTAGGCCACTACTCCCCGAGTGCCACACCTCCCGGGGAGAGAATGATCTGGAAGAAGGTCAGGGACTGGGATGGGAAAAGACCAGGAAAGGAGACAGGACTGCTGAATGCAGGGGCCAGGAGGCAAAAATGGGTTTCCTGAAACTGTCCTGGCGATGGCAGGAGTCAGGGCAGGGACGGGGCCTCTGGGAAAGGGAGGAAATGCTGGCTGTGTCAGTCCTGGCCCCAGCGCACCTGGAGAAGCTTGGCTGTGTGGAGCCTGCTCAGAAGCGGGACCACATCCCACTGAGGACTACTGTTCCTTTTTTTCCCACAAAATACTTTATTTACTTTTTGGAAACCTCATGCATGAGAGCTCTGTGCGGGGGAGACAGAGCGTAAAGGAGGGCTAGTGTTCTTGGAAGGGTGGGAAAGGAACAGTTTCCACCACCCTGTTGCTGTACCTCATCACCCACCAGAAGAGAAAGGGCGGACCATACACAGGACAAAACTACTTAGTGTGCAACAGCTGTCCCCAGGGGTAGGCAAGGGGCAAAGTCGGGGGCACAAAGTGGGCTCTGGCTGGAGAACACAGGTTCTCAGCTTGTGGGATAGTTACATTAAAATTCCTAACAGTAGCTAATTTACAGGCAGGAAAGTCACAATGAAATAATCTTATGCTGGGGGTCACATCAACACGAGGAATGGTATAAAAGGGTGGCAGCATCAGGAAGGCTGAGAACCAGTGCTGTAGAGTGACGGGAAGGGAGCAGGATCCATGGGCAGTAGCCTGGCCTCTTCTGCAGGGATGCTGGGTCCAACCTGTCAGGCAGAGCAGAGTCAGGCCAGCCCTGGCTTCCTGAGCACTCAGGAGCCTGGGAAGGGCTGTGGGAAGCAGAACACTCACTTCAAAGGGCCTGTGGACAGCAGAGCATCATTTCAAAGATCCTGGAACTTTTCGTTGAGGGCCTGCATGATGGCTGAAACACAAGAGGTACAAATGGGTATTCCAGACACAGACATCCAGGAACCCACCAACCTGAGCCCCATTCTCTGTGCCACAGGAACTTCTGGCCAGCCGCCTCACTGCCCTCCGGCCCCTGTGCAAGGAGCCTCAGAATACACTCCTCCACCCATCACCGAGCTCTATGTGGACACGTTTTCTACAGGAGAACAGCACAGACAGGCAGTCCTCAAACGCTGGACCACAGTAGTGCCAGCCCTACTTGTAAAACGAACAAACACGTGACAACAAAGACCTCATAAGTTGCAACTGCCGGCACTCCAAGGGAAACTAAAGGAGGCCTGTCTCAATGCCCAGAGAGAAGGGAACCTGGGGGACTCATCTGCACAGCGCACGGGACGGCATTGCCTCTTGGTGCAAGTCCCTGCAGTCAATGCACACAGGGCTCCCAGCCTGGCCTGCTTGAGGTCACTTCCCACAGGAGAACCGCCCCTCTGCCCACCCCAGTCACCTGCACCCAAACACTAGGCTCTCCCTCTGGCCCTGTTCCCATCGCTTCCCTGCCCCGGCTCGATCATACCTAGTTGTTCCTTGAGTTCCTCTATTTCCTTCCGTAGCATCAGACACTAGCCCAGCAGACACGGGAGAAAGCGAAAGAAAGAAAGAAAGATTATCATCCAATGTCCTGGCCTCCTCTCTGCTCCATTCACACTTCTTCCTAGTCCTTACACCTCCCAGCCGCCACAGTTCTCTGACAGACTGGCAAAGAACCTCCAACAGGAAGGAGGTGCCCTCTCTCTGTGGAGTTGGCACAGGAGGTTAGCTGTCAGCTCAGGAGCTGGCTGGGGCTGGCATTTGTGAGCTGAGAAAGCCTTACCTGAGGACAGCCTGGTGTGCCTTGTAATACTGGTTCACCCTCTTCAACAGGTAATAAAGGACCCACAAGTATATCCTGGTCCCCTGAAAACAGTAAATATAAACAACAAAGAAAGAAACTAATAAATAAATGATGAGTGAATTAATAAATGTATTATGCCCCTTCCAGTTTTTGGATCCTGATGGTAAGGGTCCTGTGAAACCTAAAATGGTGCAATATCCCCCTCTGCTGGCAGGAACTTGTAAATGTTAGTACATCTGCTCCAATAAGCTCTGAGCCTTTCTTCCCTGTTGCTCCCAGGCAGCCTGGAGGCTCTTTGTACCACTAGGAGGATTGCTTGCCAAATCCAGAACCAGCGATGAACTCAGTGCCTGAGCAGGGCTCACCAGCTTACAGACATTTTCTGGAGTTGGAGTTGTCCCACCCTTCACAGTCATGCATCCCACAGTCCCACTCATTTCACAATGTGGTCTGAGGCCAGCCCTGCCCACACCCAGTCTCCTGTGGGCTCCTGCCTCCCTAGACAGGGAAGCCCAAGGATCAAGGCTGCAATCCACCAAAGGAACAGAGCCTGAGGCTTCCTGCCTTTCCCCATCTTCCCACGCTGCTCTCAAACCCCAAAGACTCACCAGCCGGTGCAGGTGCTCTAGGTCTGGCACTTCTCTGGCTCAAGGACAAGACCTGAGAGTTTCCCACAACTTGGGGTGCTCTGGTGTTGGGGTCTCCACTGCTCATTTCTCCACGATGCGTGCACGTGCAAGGCTGCTCTGCCCTGTGTGTTGGAAGCTCACACAAAAATTCCTCACTAAGTACACGTTGTGGAGGGCTGAGGGGCCCGTGGGGGAACAAACTGGAGGCCTGTGAGGCCCATCCCATCTGTACTTTCTGTTCCTGGGTCAGCCTCAGGTCAGGAGGCAGAGCTCAGCCAGGAAGGGGCCCACAGGCACTGAAAAGGCTCAGGATCTGGCCTGGCTTCCTTGGGGAAGAGCCAGGAGGGAGGAATCAGGAGGCCCCTGAGGCCGACTACACATCCAAGTTGTGCAGCCCACACTGTAAGGGCTCTGGACCCAAATCACTCCAACTGTCAGCCAGGCCCACTTCCCACCCCAGCCTGGCTAGAGACAGGACATGCACAGGGAGGGGAATAGTAACCAACACCTAACTGAGCCACCTTCATATCCACCCTCACTTACTACAAGGACCCCACACTGCACATCCGAATCAGGATGAGTGTCCACTGACAAGCCCCAAGCCAAGGCAGGGGCAGAGGGAGCAGGGCAATGTTATGTGCTGGGGAGAAAAAGGGCAGGGTGAGAGGAGACAGAGGGTGCTCTACTCACTTGGGCCTGCAGGCCAGGATCTCTGGTTGGGTCATTATCTTCTTTGGCCCCTGGTTGGGATTCCTTTGTCTTCCTTACTATGGATCTCTTCCCAGTGCAGAAAGGCTTGCATTCTTTTGTTCTGGAAACCAGTGAGCGTTTACTGGCCTTCCCAAGCAGGGCAACCCCGGAGATCGGGGGAAGGGTGGCTGACCTTACAGGAGCTGACTTGAGTCTCTGTCCCCATGGTGGGAAGGTTCCTCCCAGGGATCCTTTTGAGGCATCTGTCAAGGGCTTCTTCTCCTGGGGTACCTTCTTTCTCGGACTGGTCTTGGGAAAGGCCCCTGAAGCAGCAGGAGTAGGTGCAGGGACAGCAGCAGAGGCTGCTGCTCCAGCAGCTGTGGCAGCAGAAGTCGCTCCTGGGAAGCTGGGTCTGCTCCCTTCTGTGCCCCAGACTATACTTGGCTTTTTCTTCGACAGAGAGCCTTCCAGCTCTCCCAAAGCCTGCTTCTCCACGCCTGAGCTGAGTGTCCGGTTCGTACTGGACATTACAGAGGGGGGCACATGGACGAAACTTCCCCTGCCATGGACACTCGTGTGTTTGCCTGTGTCTTCCCGCTCAGTGAGGCCAGTGGGCTTGGCCTGGCCTCCTTCTTTGAGGCAAATGGTCACCCTCATCACCCCCGTCTCATTGGACTCATCAGAAGACGTAGGGTTATAGGAGGGACATTGCACAGCTTCACTGCTCACTATCCTATTTGTGGTTCCTCTCCTCGGGGTCACCCAGGCTCTGCTTCGTCCCAGGCCCCGGGGGTACAGGGAGCCTGCAGAGGTCTGCTTCCCTTCTACAGTGCTCAGGGACAGGGCCCCTCTGTTGGAGCCTTCATCCATATGTCCCCAAAGGGCAGCCAGTTCAGCGGCACAGGTCTGTGGGGACTGGTACCTGCAGACTCTTCGGGTCTGCAGGTTGGTCAGCTCGCGCATCATAGCCATAGCCTCAATACTGAGCTGGGGCAGAAAGTCCAGGCCGACCTCTTCTTGGTTCACGGGGGAACTGGTCCGGCCTTCCGGGTCCCTATGCACCCCTTCTCCTTCCTCTGTCGCTTCCAATTTCCGCTCAGATTGCAACCCGCAGCTTTCCATACCCGGGAGGCCGCCCTCACCGTCTCCAATCTCCAGAGGACCTTGGATGAGGCTTGAGGCCCCCGGTACTACTCTAGGGCTGATCAGGGGGTCCCCTAAGTGCTCCCTGCCCTCCTGGCCCAAATCGGCTTCAGGAGCAGACCCCTGATCCCGGGAATTCATGTCACCGGCAGAAGCGGTGTCCTTGTCACCACAGACTTCAGGGGCTGACACCTCATCCGGGGAGCTCATGTCACCAGCAGGGGGAGGCACGGGGGGGAGGGAAGATAATTCCCGCTAAGTCACCCCCGAGGAACGAGGCCTTTCACCTCAGGCGCTGCAAGCGGTTAGCTCAGAGGACACGTGACTCCGCGAGACCTCGAAGTCTCGAAAGTTCCTCACACTCACGCGCGCAAAACCCCGCCCTTTAATGGTGGCGAACTACGCACCCTCGTCTCTATTGGCTAGGGCCTTGAGTAATGGCCAAGCAACAGCCGCTCTGATTGGTGGCTCGCCGAGCGGCGGACCAATGAGAACGGCCCTCGAGGGTGCGCGAAGTCTCGCGTTGTTTGAACCGCGCGCGCGCGCGCGCGCGCGCGCGCGTGTGGCGCCCGTGGCGGTGGCAGTTGCCTTGGCGAAGACATAGCTGAGAATGCAGTGAAGGGGGAAGCAGCGTCTCCTCGGGCGGCGTCTGCTGGGGTGGAAACATGAGCTCTCCTGATGAGGTGTCGGTTCGGGGAAGCGGGTTTGGGCCAGAAAGCGGGGAGCACTCGGAAGGACGCCGCCGCTTTAGCCATGGATCCCCGAGGAGACATGGCCTCGGCCCTGACGAGAGGTTGTTCCGGAGCAGTGAGGACAAAACGTGTCTCCCAGTCTCCAAGACCTTCCCGTATGACTCCTGGTTAGACAGGGATGAGATGGAGGGAAGGTCGGTCATCTGGGGCTGCGAAGGTCGCCCCGGCACCCCAGTGGATGAGAGAGGGGACAGTTTGGACTTTGTACCGCAGCTGACAATAGAGGGTACAAGCTTCGGGCAGCATGTAGCCAACCGGGAGGCCTGGGGTGTCCGCAGACATCCGTCCCCAAAAAGCTGCGCTGCTGAGCCCCTTGGCATTTGGGGAGACTCAGACGCAGGCACAAGCCGGAGAGGCATGCGGCCCCCGACCTCTGTGGAAGGGAAGCAGTTATCAGCTAGCCAACAGCACCCCAGGGGTCTGGGGCGGGGCAGGGCCTGGGTGACCCCAAGAAGAGGAGCCACAAGTAGGATAATAGCCAGTGAGGATTTTCAGTATCTGTCTTCCGACCCCGAGTCTTCTGATGAATTCAGTGAGACAGAAATGATGAGGGTGACCATTTGCCTCAAAGAAGGAGGCCAGGCCAAGTCCACTGGCCTCACTGAGCTGGAAGACACAGGCAGACGCACGAATGTCCATGGCAGGGGAAGTTTTGACCATATGCCCCCCTCTCTGCTGGTCACTACTCCGCGAGGACTCAGCTCAGGCATGGAGAAGCAGGCTTTGGGAGAGCTGGAAGGCTCTCTGTCGAAGAAAAAGCAAAGTGGGGTCTTGGGAAAAGAAGGGAGCAGACCCAGCTACCCAGGAGCTGCCGTTGCCTCCTCTGCTGCTGTCCCTGCCCCTGTTGCTATTGCTTCAGGTGCCTCCCCGACCAAGACCAGTCCTAGAAAGAAGGGAGTAAAGGAGAAGCCGACTCACTGGGATACCTCAAGAGGATCCCTGGGAAGAACCTTTCCATCATGGGGACAGAGACTCAAGTCAGCTCCTGTAGAACCAGCTACTTTCCCCCCAATCTCCGGGGTTGCCCTGCTTGGGAAGGCCAGTAAATGCTCACTGCCTTCTGGACCCAAAGAATGCAAGCCTTTCTGCACTGGGAAGAGATCCATAGTAAGGAAGACAAAGGAATCCCAGCCAGGGGCCAAAGAAGATAATGACCCAACCAGAGATCCTGGCCTGCAGGCCCAAGTGAGTAGAGCACCCTCTGTCTCCTCTCACCCTGCCCTTTCCCTCCCCAGCACATAACATTGCCCTGCTCCCTCTGCCCCTGCCTTGGCTTGGGGCTTGTCAGTGGACACTCATCCTGATTCGGATGTGCAGTGTGGGGTCCTTGTAGTAAGTGAGGGTGGATATGAAGGTGGCTCAGTTAGGTGTTGGTTACTATTCCCCTCCCTGTGCATGTCCTGTCTCTAGCCAGGCTGGGGTGGGAAGTGGGCCTGGCTGACAGTTGGAGTGATTTGGGTCCAGAGCCCTTACAGTGTGGGCTGCACAACTTGGATGTGTAGTCGGCCTCAGGGGCCTCCTGATTCCTCCCTCCTGGCTCTTCCCCAAGGAAGCCAGGCCAGATCCTGAGCCTTTTCAGTGCCTGTGGGCCCCTTCCTGGCTGAGCTCTGCCTCCTGACCTGAGGCTGACCCAGGAACAGAAAGTACAGATGGGATGGGCCTCACAGGCCTCCAGTTTGTTCCCCCACGGGCCCCTCAGCCCTCCACAACGTGTACTTAGTGAGGAATTTTTGTGTGAGCTTCCAACACACAGGGCAGAGCAGCCTTGCACGTGCACGCATCGTGGAGAAATGAGCAGTGGAGACCCCAACACCAGAGCACCCCAAGTTGTGGGAAACTCTCAGGTCTTGTCCTTGAGCCAGAGAAGTGCCAGACCTAGAGCACCTGCACCGGCTGGTGAGTCTTTGGGGTTTGAGAGCAGCGTGGGAAGATGGGGAAAGGCAGGAAGCCTCAGGCTCTGTTCCTTTGGTGGATTGCAGCCTTGTTCCTTGGGCTTCCCTGTCTAGGGAGGCAGGAGTCCACAGGAGACTGGGTGTGGGCAGGGCTGGCCTCAGACCACATTGTGAAATGAGTGGGACTGTGGGATGCATGACTGTGAAGGGTGGGACAACTCCAACTCCAGAAAATGTCTGTAAGCTGGTGAGCCTTGCTCAGGCACTGAGTTCCTTCCTGGATCTAGCCGTGGTTGATAGTCCTGAGAGCATTGGCTCAGGGCAACAGTCTTAGGAGCTCTAAGCGCTTTTATGCTGTCTCTGGGCTGGGGTTGAGGAAGAGAGCTGGGCAGATCTCAGGACCTACTAAGTACAAGTGGCTGCAGGCAGAGGGTATTGCTGTCTCGTTTTAGACCCCACCAGTCCCTTCCCACTTGGATCACAAGCCAAGAGGTCTCATCCTGTCTCTGTCTCTCTGTCTGGCGTGTATGTGTGTGTGTGTTTTCAGGTGAACAGGAACCATCTCTCCATCTCCCATTCACGGCTGGAGAGAGGCAGAATCAAACACCAGTAACAATGGGTTGCCAACAGGTAAGGCTTTTTCAGCTCACAAATGCCAGCCCCAGCCAGCTCCTGAGCTGACAGCTAACCTCCTGTGCCAACTCCACAGAGAGAGGGCACCTCCTTCCTGTTGGAGGTTCTTTGCCAGTCTGTCAGAGGACTGTGGCGACTGGGAGGTGTAAGGACTAGGAAGAAGTGTGAATGGAGCAGAGAGGAGGCCAGGACATTGGATGATAATCTTTCTTTCTTTCGTTTTCTCCCGTGTCTGCTGGGCTAGTGTCTGATGCTACGGAAGGAAATAGAGGAACTCAAGGAACAACTAGGTATGACCGAGCCAGGGCAGGGAAGCGATGGGAACAGGGCAAGAGGGAGAGCCTAGTGTTTGGGTGCAGGTGACTGGGGTGGGCAGAGGGGCGGTTCTCCTGTGGGAAGTGACCTCAAGCAGGCCAGGCTGGGAGCCCTGTGTGCATTGACTGCAGGGACTTGCACCAAGAGGCAATGCCGTCCCGTGCGCTGTGCAGATGAGTCCCCCAGGTTCCCTTCTCTCTGGGCATTGAGACAGTCCTCCTTTAGTTTTCCTTGGAGTGCCGGCAGTTGCGACTTGTGAGGTGTTTGTTGTCACGTGTTTGTTCATTTTACAAGTAGGGCTGGCACTACTGTGGTCCAGCGTTTGAGGACTGCCTGTCCGTGCTGTTCTCCTGTAGAAAACGTGTCCACATAGAGCTCGGTGATGGGTGGAGGAGTGTGTTCTGAGGCTCCTTGCACAGGGGCCGGAGGGCAGTGAGGCGGCTGGCCAGAAGTTCCTGTGGCACAGAGAATGGGGCTCAGGTTGGTGGGTTCCTGGATGTCTGTGTCTGGAATACCCATTTGTACCTCTTGTGTTTCAGCCATCATGCAGGCCCTCAACGAAAAGTTCCAGGATCTTTGAAATGATGCTCTGCTGTCCACAGGCCCTTTGAAGTGAGTGTTCTGCTTCCCACAGCCCTTCCCAGGCTCCTGAGTGCTCAGGAAGCCAGGGCTGGCCTGACTCTGCTCTGCCTGACAGGTTGGACCCAGCATCCCTGCAGAAGAGGCCAGGCTACTACCCATGGATCCTGCTCCCTTCCCGTCACTCTACAGCACTGGTTCTCAACCTTCCTGATGCTGCCACCCTTTTATACCATTCCTCGTGTTGATATGACCCCCAGCATAAGATTATTTCATTGTGACTTTCCTGCCTGTAAATTAGCTACTGTTAGGAATTTTAATGTAACTATCCCACAAGCTGAGAACCTGTGTTCTCCAGCCAGAGCCCACTTTGTGCCCCTGACTTTGCCCCTTGCCTACCCCTGGGGACAGCTGTTGCACACTAAGTAGTTTTGTCGTGTGTACGGTCCACCCTTTCTCTTCTGGTGGGTGATGAGGTACAGCAACAGGGTGGTGGAAACTGTTCCTTTCCCACCCTTCCAAGAACACTAGCCCTCCTTTACGCTCTGTCTCCCCCACACAGAGCTCTCATGTATGAGGTTTCCAAAAAGTAAATAAAGTATTTTGTGGGAAAAAAGGAACAGTAGTCCTCAGTGGGATATGGTCCCGCTTCTGAGCAGGCTCCACACAGCCAAGCTTCTCCAGGTGCACTGGGGCCAGGACTGACACAGCCAGCATTTCCTCCCTTTCCCAGAGGCCCTGTCCCTGCCCTGACTCCTGCCATCGCCAGGACAGTTTCAGGAAACCCATTTTTGCCTCCTGGCCCCTGCATTCAGCAGTCCTGTCTCCTTTCCTGGTCTTTTCCCATCCCAGTCCCTGACCTTCTTCCAGATCATTCTCTCCCCGGGAGGTGTGGCACTCGGGGAGTAGTGGCCTAGAATTTGCACTTCATCTTTGGGCTCCTGCATAGCCCTCCCCTTTGAAGCGAGATGCCAAGTCCCCTGATTTGCCCCTGGACCATTTCAGGAGAGGGGTGGAGGGCACGATCACATGCCCGTGGTTGGCAGAGTGAGTGAGCTCCAAAGACTGTGCACACGGGGTGTAAGGAGCACAGAAAAGCACCTGTTTTTCTCTGGGTTGGTGGTGAGAAGTGAGTCTTCAGTGGTTCTGTGGGCCAACAGGGCTGATGTCCCAGGGCAGTGGAAGAGAAGGTCTAGGACCCAAAGCTCCACATCCTCAGGTCCTGGTCTGACAGGTGCTCTCATCCAGCCCCCATTTGAAAAGTTCTGGTTTTAGAGAGGTTGGGGTATCTGTGTGTGAGAGAGTGTGGGAGAAAGAAGGAGGAGGGAGAAAGAGATAGAGAGGTGGGGGAGAAAGGGAGAGTGAGAGGAAGAGGGAGAGAGGACAAGTAAGAGGTTCCTGTGCCATGGCATGTGTGTGGTGGTCAGAGTACAAACTAGTTGGGGGTGTGTCTTGTTTCTGCCTATGCTTTGTACACCTGCCTAGCTGGCCCGGGAGCTTCGGGGTTCTTCTGTCTCTTTTCTCCCATCCTGCTGTATGACACCTGGTATCATCAGCTCTAGAACTTTTTCAAGATTTAGTTTTAATGATTGTGAGTGAGTGTGTGTGTGTGTGTGTGTGTGTGTGTGTGTGTGTGTGTGTGTGTGTATGCATGCATGCATGCTTGCATGGTAATGTGTGGGTGTTCGCACATCAGTGCAGTTTCTGTTTGAGACCAGTCCATTGGATCTCCCTGAAGCCACACTTAGAAGTGATGTGAGCTGCCTGACATGGGTGCTGGGAAGAAACCTGATATCCTCCAGAGAAGCAGCACACTGCTCTTAACCCGCAGCCATCTCTCTAGCACTGGCATCCAGATTTTACATGAGTTCCAAAGTGTGAGCTCATATTTTCAGGCTTGAACCATCTTGCTGACCCGTGCATTTGGTGTTCGAGATGATGCATCCACACATGCATGGAAGGTCTTCCACAGGTCCCTGCTCACCCTTCACACATGGCACAAATGTTTCCAAACATGATATTGGTGTGTTCCGGGTCCATCTTCCCCACTTCCTCCTGGGCTCCACATTGTAGTGTGGGAGACAGACAGGATGGCTTCCAGCTTTGAGCTGGGACCAAGTGCCAGACAGGATCTGAGATGTGGCGTGGGTGAGGCAGGTGTGGGTTCTGCCAGATTGCATTCCTGAGAGGCGGGGCTTTTCACATTTGATGTAGGATGCTGGTGACCACAAAGCATCTAGGCCCATGGACTCCGTCCCTTGCTCTGGCCGGGTGTGCCTGTGAATCTGAGAGTGCAGTGCAGTTGTCCTTGGTGTGGAAAGCTCAGACTCAGTGAGTGGCAGCAGGAGGTGACACCTGAGCCTGTGAGGGATCCAAAGCACACAAGGAGAGGTTGGTGCTGACCTTTCATTAGAGGTGGTTTTCCAGTCTTAAACCACAGGAGGGCATGGTGTGGTAGGAAGTGTAAGTCACAAAAGTCACTGTGTTAGTGTTGTCCAAAGGTTGGAGTTGCCAAAGTAGGCTCTGGATCCTACCCTGGACTGTACTCTTAAAAGCCCTGCCCTGAGGGGCTGGAGAGATGGCTCAGCAGCTAAGAGCATGGCTGCTCTTGCAGAGGACCTGGGATTGATTTCTAGCACCCATATCCAGCTCATAACCGTTTGTAACTCCAGTTCCAGGGCATAGAGGCCCTCTTCTGGCCTCCTTGGGCACTAGGCACAAACGTGGTCCATAGACACACATGCGGACAAACCATTCATACACAATTACAACTGAAATAAAAGTGTTTTTAGTTTGTTGTGGGCAGGGAGGGATGTGCAAGCTGCGTTCCTCAGATTAGCCTGTTTACTCCTGCCTGTGAAGCAGCAGCTCTCCTGGGAGCTGGAAAACCTGAAGCTAAGAACAGCCAAGTAGTAGGAGTGCAGTGACTGTGCAAACTAGGAGGGTCAATTGCCTTGCAGAGTGGGGCAGGTCTGGCAGCACCCTTTCCACAGTCTTAGGTGCAGCAAGCCACAAATATATACAAAGTGGGATTTCAGTGGACTATGACAAAGGCAATACCTGGAAGTAGCCAAGGGCCTTTCAGAGGTCAAGCTAAGGCTCAAGGAGCCTTGGTGATATTTGGCTTTTGATTATCAGCCGTTTCCTGCTATGAGTTTCTTGTGTGCTATTGTAGCTTTTCCATCATTGATTGGGCACCATTTCCCCTCTACTAAAGGAATACTTAGATAATCTTCTGTGCTGACAGCTCTGCACAGCCAGAACCCCTGTTCAAGCCTCCCTGTAATTATCGTCATTGGCAGCATCCGGCCAGGTCCATCCCTAGATAGAAGAAAGTACCTTATCAGAGATACCTCTGTTCTCTCTATTAACAGACTTAAGTGTCCAGACTACCTGTTTGAGAAGGCCTGGCGCATGTGCCAATTAAGTTTAACTTCCTCCTTTCCCAAATCTTATCTCTAGTTCCAGATCTCCCTTTAACTATCACCAGAGGCATCCAGCTGCACACAGGTTGCCTAGTGACCGAGCACACTTTCCCCCACCCTGCAGAAAAGCGGCAGATAGCTTGGACAGATAGGAGCTACAGGAAAAAGGAAAACAGTTTTATTTTCTCCCATTGACCTAGCAACTTACAGAGTCTTAACATTTTCTACCAATCACGTTTAAGACTATAGTGGAGCACATAAGGTCCCTCTTCTTAGATATTACCCGAACTTAGCCTTTAGTTAATTCATTCCCCCATTGGTCACTTCCCTTTGGGGTTGCAAATGATAATGGTTATTGCCTCTTTATGAGATTCTTATCACCCCTCCGTTTGACCCTGGACGCCTGGCTTTGCACTGCCAAGGGATTACTGCTTGTAAGTGTATATATACCAGGACTTCCAGGGCACGAGGGTCGGAGAAGAGAAAAGAGAATGGAAGAACTAGATGGGTAAGAACTTGAGAGGAACAAACTGAGATGGGGAAGAACTAGATTGAAGGGCTAGAGGAGAGGACTAGAGGAATGAGATGGAAGCTGAGGAAGAGCCAGATGGGGAAGAACAAGATGAGACAGAAGGAGATGGGAGAGGAGCTGATTTGGGAAAGAATTAGATGGATGAGAACCTAGAAGGAGCTATATATGAGAGCAGAAAATAAGCTTGTAACTGACACAGAATAATAAAGTATATGGACTAAGGAGTTTCGTGTACATAGATTCATTTCTTTTCATCAAAGATTAATTATCAGCTGGTTGTAGATTCTTCCCGGACCCTGGGAGGGGACTATTGAGGTGCTGGACTCCCATAGTCCCCGATACTCAGGGGGTCACCTCTGGGCCTCATGGATTGACTTAGGGAGACAGTGCATATCACCTGTGATAGGACAACCATTGATCCGGGAGCCTGAATGGACAGTGGGGACTTAAACCATCCACTCAGAGCCCTCCCTGAGAAGATGGTCTCTGTTCCTCACGATGTGGCTCTCATCCTGAGTCACATGGCTACTTCTGGCAGGGGTAAGAGCTGAGTGACAGCTGACAGACTCCACAGCTGGGCTTCTGGCAGCTTACACAAGCAAGCCAGTCCTGGCTGCGGTGCATTCCAGCACCAGGCACTGTTCTTGCAGGCCCCGGGCAGCTATCTCCAGTGCAGCTGCATGCTGAAGCCATGGCAGGACACCAACAGCCCTGTGACCGTGACTTGCCAGCCCTGCCTCTGTCCCCTGAGCACACGGCCTCTCTCCTCTGCATTCAGACCTACTGCTGCCCAATACTGCTGTGTGGTGGGCTGACCCTGCTGCCTCTATGGGAGGAAGCGCAGATTCCCAGGCTCAGGTCTGAAAAATACATGAATGAGGGCCCCTTGGACAGGAGGAGGTGGGATGGTTCCCTTCAATCCCCCCCCCCCCCACTTCTCAGCCAGAAGAGGTGTGCCCCAGAGAGCACCCAGGCTCTGTCCTGCCTCCTGCTGCTACTCAGCTCAGGGAGGGCCTTGCAGGGTGGCTGAGCTGTGTGCCTGCC